CTCCTTCTTCTTCTTCTTCTTCTTCTTCTCCTCCTCGTCGATGTCGTTGCCCTGATGAGGCGGAGGGGTCGGGGTGGGCGTCGGGAGTGCCTGCGGGTCGATTTGCTGATACTCGCAGTTTTTCATGATTTACGATGGAGTTTGGCTGCTCTGTCCCAATTCGGACAACCAGGGCATTTGGCCAGACAGCATCACCGACCCCCGTGTACCGTTAGGCAGGCGAACGGAGCAAATGTCGTCATTCCACGTAGAGAACAAGCTAATCCTGCACCGTGGGTATCCAGCTGTAAATAACCGTGAGACCCCGTGCTGGCAATTACATCCCCGTTACTTTCCATGCCTCTTCATTTATTCTTCTTTCAGCGTGTCTTCAGACGGACTGGGCACAAATTCAAGCCCTCTGGACATCGTTAGCTTCGTCGCTGTGCCACTCACACTAGCCAGCTCATCCAGCTGCGGAGTATTTAACATCAGTAAAGTAGCGTTACCACTGCTAGCTTGTTAGCTCGCTCGACTTGGACATTATATTCCAGCTTTGAGCCAAGCCCCAGCGACTGTGTGTGCATAAATTAAACGAAGACGAAAAACTTTTGTTATTTTCAACGCATATCGCTCTTCTACAAAGAGTCCTGACACATTCGTGACCACCTACTGGTTAGCTGCGTTGCTACAAAACGACTCGTCCGGGCAAATCGCGATGTTGTCAAGCGCGACACAAAGGAAACGTCTACTTCCGGTTGCGTGTCTTTCGAAATAAGTGGCCGCCAAGCAGTTGGACGTTTGGGGAACGTTCCGCCAATGTTAGCTGGAGTTTCGATGGCTTTCGCTAGGCCTCTTTCGATAACGTTCGTTAAAGTTTGTCGTTGTAGATGCTTTAGCAAACGTTTTCGGAACGTTTTGTGAATGTCGATAATGATAAGCTTAAGGGATTGTTCTCTAAAGGCTACTGTTTGCTGGATATTCTGTTAAAATATTAAAACATCGTGACAACAGAACTCAGAAAATGATTGGTAATAAGATCTGCACCCATGTGGCTATATTTTCTAATAAATAAACATTGTCAAACGATATAAACGGTACAACATCCGGTAATTCGGTGATCATTGTGGGTAACTTGACAGTTTTAATGCATCAAAATAAAAGCGCAAACATGTTAACTTTTAATTTCGACAGGGTGGTGGTGATAATTACAGGGTTATGAATACGTTGTATTTATTGTAGGCCTTCTCATTTAGTTGCTGAGTAATTTAAACAACGTTATCGTAATATGTAAAATTCGAAAAATACACTGGCGCTTTATTTTTTGAAGTCATTCCTAACCGGAAGTCCAACCTCTTGGTTGCAGCTACCTGGTGCCTTCCTCCAACTTGACGCGCAGGTACACGGATTCGGTCGAAAACTTTACTGAAACTGACATTTTGGAGCGGCGCCCTCACAAAAAAAATAAATAAACAAACTTTCAAAAATGGATTAGAAACTTTAATGTTTAGATTTGGTGGAACAGCCGACAGGAACTCGGAAGTGGAGCTGCTGGTGGAAGCGCCGTGAACACTGTAAGTAATGTGAGGTGAGAAAGTCCTCTAATGGAGGAAAGAGCAGCTCTGACAAGTCGCCATGAAAGTGAAAATAATCTTTACAGACGAACAGAATTGCCAGCTAGTGTGTTCCAAACGTTTACGTATTGTTAAATTACTGGGTAAATGAAGATAAAACAGCAAAATGATAGCTGGGTTTCTCGTGTTTAAGGCTAAGTCACTACTGTAAACACTGGTCTGACTCATCGTCAACACGGAACGCCAGACTCCATTTGAGAATCTGTCAATTCAACGCTCTTTTGCAATATCGCACACTCACGGATAAAAATAACTGAAGATAGCGAAAGATTTAGTCAGTTTTTCTCGTTACCGCATCTATTCATTCAACCAAAAAAATACTGCTTTCCTACTTTAATTTAAAAAAAAATGTCGTTTTGACTCTGCTTGTTGACTGTCAAATGCCAAACTCACTTTTAACATGCTGCTAAAACCATCAGTTTTAATAATGGACTTCGGTTTAGTAGGTGAAGGATTCAGAATTGTAATCAAATTCATGTAGTAGTTGTTAATTATCTCCATAAGTTTGTCGTGTAAACACTGGAGATGAGCAGATCCCTGTGCACTTGTTGGGGAATTTATAATTATTTTTTTTTAACTCTGCATCTCACAACTAGTTTTAGGGAAACTCCATAACATGACATCAGTACTTCTGATTATAGGAATAGCTATTTGCCTTAGACTATGTGCTCTCGCATTCGACATAAAACCTGTTTGACTAGCTCACCCGGCACCTGGGGATAGTAGTTTCACATTTGTTTTGGAGAGAGATGCCCTCAGGTGGCTACAAGTGACTTTAGGTTTTGCCTGAGATATTGGATTGGTTACAAGAATGTCCCGATGCCATTTCAACACTGTCTTATGATGTAGTGAAACCCCCGTTGACCTCATTTTCTGCAATGCTTGTCCTTGAATTCTTGGAGCCAGGAAGTCATGTCTGCCGGCAGCACCAGACGCAGCTGGGGGCCCGGCAGCCACAGGCCCGGACCCAGCCGGAGCAGCAGCCAAAGGTCGTCATATGAGGAGCGCTGTGTGGACCCAGTGGAAGACGGGCTACCCACCCCAGAGCCAAAGGTGGTCCACAAAGCTCACCTGAAAGATGCTAATGGAAAGGAGTCTGAGACCATCGGCTTCATTCCTGGCTCAGCTGAGCCTTCCTCTGCGACACAAACCTGCAACCCCTGCGCTTCTCCGAGGAGCTGTAGGACTTTTATATGCAACGTGCTCACCTGCGGCCTGTACAGGGTTTGCCAGTGCACCATCCTTGCTCCGTGCTTGGCGCCAAACGAGAGCTCCACAGACGAACCGGAGAAGGTGAGCCTCCGAGCCGTGAACGCGGGACAAAACAAAGAAGAAGACGGCGCAGACTGGCTGGGGGATGTCCACATCGGTGGAGTGAAAGTGGACCGCGCAAGACAGTATGTAGAGGCTGAAACTAATTCATACCCGCTTCTGTCTGCTGGTCAAACGCAGCCCAGTCATCCGTCCCTGCATGAGTCTATGAGGTTTGATGACTGGGAGGATGGCGATGAGAATGTAGACTCCCTGATTACTAAGAAGCTGCTGGAGCTCTACTCTGAATATCAAATCGAAGAGTTGGCCAGGTGCACCTCAGACTCCGTGTTTCTGAAGAAGAGCAAGGCCATCAACCAGCTCATCAACTCGCTGGCAGAGGAGCACAAAATGGGTGAGCAGGAAGCTGAGTGCAGGCTGGTGCGAGGCATCATACGCATCAGCACCCGGAAAAGCACAAAGAGGAGGCCCCCCACCTCCAGGAGGGAGAGGACGCTGTCGGACAGCGGCAACGAGACGATGAGGGACAGCGACTCCTTCTCATTCAGCAATAACAGTGAGTAGTGGCGGTTCTCGCTCCTTCAACCCAGAAATAGCAACAGCAACTCCAAAATGTCTCACTGCCATCAAGTAAAAACCGTTTCTCTGTTTCCTCAAGATGACTACAAATCAAATCCCAACATCCAAATATCAGACCTGACCTCCTCTGATCAGTGTGCCAGGGAGATGTGGAGGAACAATGGAGGTAAGAAATGTGCCTTAATCAACTTTAATATGTTTTAGACACTTGCTTTAATGGTGATGTAATGTCCAATTATAGCTAAAACTGTGTGTCATTAACTTATTTTGATTGTCAGCAGTTTGGTCAGTGACTTGTTGGCCACAGCAAGACATTATTTTGGATCACACATGGCCGTTCTAACAGGGTCTTCTGGTTGACGGTGATGGACTTCAAACATGAGCCTTTATTTATGACTAAACAAAGAGTCTCTGATTTTGGTGCCACAGGCAGGATTTTTGTTTTCATTTTAATACACATGCCTTTTGCTACCTTTACTTCTCGCATACACAATATTCCAGAGACCTCTAGGACAGAGACTTGGAAATTATGTTCTGATCGGTTGTGATAGTTACGAAACGTCGTTTCCTGATTTATCACATTCCTGTCATGTGAATGTTGTTTTAGAAGAAAACACAACAAATTACAGGTGCTGCTGACCATGTTGTCTGTGCTAGCTGGCTGTTGTGTAGTTTAGGAAATCATGGTTCTTACTGTTCTCCATCGCTGTTCTTCCTTCCGAGTATTTCTACAACTAAAGCAGCCAACCTCCTGCTTTGTGCCCAGATTATTTCTGAAAGTGAGCTGAAACACTTGCGTGGATGAAAATGTTCTGTTTTAGCTAAGTCTAGTTTAAGTTTTAAGACTCCTTGATATTTATTTGAATTGCATATTTAGTTCCTAGATAGATAGATAGATAGATAGATAGATAGATAGATAGATAGATAGATAGATAGATAGATAGATAGATAGATATTACATTGTGGTTGAAGAGCGTAGGTAATTTGTTTTTTGTTAACACGATACATAGCCCTGCTCCCGCAGCACCAGCCAACACACACAAACACACACCTGTGTACATGGGAGATCAGAGGTTCACAAGGGGGCTATATTTTGAATATATTTTGTTATTTTGCTAACAAGGATGATGGCATCTCCGCCCTGATCTCCTCACAAATCATCTAATAGTTAGAGAAAGACTGTTGAATTGGGCAGAAGTAAAATTTTAATTAGCAAATGTGCTTGTGGAACCCATGATTAGGTTTGGTTAAATTAGCTAGCAAGCTAAAGGTTAGTTTTAAATCACTTTTTTAAACAAGTTTAAATATAAATGACCACATTTCAAGCAAAATGTTTTTTAAAAACTGAGGAAAGCAAGAAAAGCACATTCAAACATACTGATACTGGTTTTCACTGGTGACCACTGTCCGCCTTTGTTTGGCTGCACTGGTCTAAATGCTGGTTTAAAGCCTTCTCCCCCCTCCTACCATAACATTCTGATGAATCCTTTACATGTGTATTTAGCTGCCATAAAGGTAGTCACATTTCAAATATGATTGATTCTAAAAACACTGGAATCATCCTATGAAGTGTCCTTCATGTGTAATTGCAGTCTGTGAATTCCCCCTACCTGAGTCATTAAAACAATAATCCAGAGGACGTGACCTCTGTGTCTTTCATGGCAACACTGGCTCTGTGCAGGTGTCATTTTACAGCATTGTGTGATTACCGCCACCTATTGAATGACACAGCAGTTTTTAATGTACCTGTCAGGGATTCACAAAATAGTGATTTTAAAAAGTCTTACAATGTAGAGACACATAAATGCACTACTACAGTATGAAGCAGGTACATTTTTTTTTGTTTGGAGGTTTCTTTCCTTCCACCAATGTCAGCTGTTGTGTGATTTGCCTACTTTTACTGGGTCTGCCATATCATATCAGGAAACAAACCAAACAACACAAGGCACTGTGGGTCAGTTGACAGATATTCATATTTGGACTTACTTCCCGGCAAGTGACCATAGAGCTACAGTTAAAATTTACCTTGGACCTAGTCATAGGGCCGCACCAGTGACAATGTAAATAGTTTTTATCGGTGGGGTGAGTGCTGCAGGGCGTACAGGCTTCTGTTTAGACTAGACGCCATAATTCATGCTGCAGCTGTTGTAAACCTGCTACATTACAGCTGGTACAGTAGATGGAAAGATAAGAATATGAGAAAACTATAATAGGCCTGGTGCATGTTTGTGTTCTTGCCTGAACTTTCTGGATAAATGCTGAAAGTTAGATTGTCCAAGCTCTCCAAGCTGTACAAAGTGGTTTCAGTGCGGCGGCAATAAAGCAGCCACTCAAGGAGACATGACGTTGAACCTCTTGATTGTACTTTCTTTAAGGTGATTTTAGTTCTGTTTATTCATTTTATTAGATTTACACATTTTAAAAGTCATATTAACGCAGACTGAGTTAAGGATTTAGGATTGTGGTTAGACTCACATCAGCGACAGCTTTCAAACTCAGAGACGCCATAGATAGGGTTAATCGTGACATGTGTGTGTTGTTGTGTGTGTTCGTTTACTTAGAGCCGTTGACATTTAAATGGCTCTGGAGACCCAGATAGCTGTAGTCATAAATACACCGTAACGACACTTTCATCAAGGCTTGGCAAAGTGGGAATAAAAATCAGAATGTGGCTTTTGACTCGGACACTAAAACAGACCTGGAGACACATTATTACATATTGCAAATTGCACACTTTAATAATCATCCACTGAATGGAGGTAAACACACAGAGATGATTTTGGGTCATATATGAAAAGGAAACACCTGCACAAAAGTTACACTGATACACTTTTGAAATGTTTAAATGTTGTTCACAATTACAGATTCTACAAAGGTTTTATTGCTATAGTTTGCAAAAAAAAAACAACTCACAGAAACATTTTTTAATATTCCAGCCCACAGCTTCAACAATAATGTAGCTTTAGTCGCTTGAACAACAGGAAGTAGCAGTAAAAGCAGCATTCAGAGGAGGTAGCTGGTATTTACTGTGATGTCCAGGCGTGGATTCATGGAGTCAGCCTTTCAAACCTGCATTGTTTGCATCCTTATGCACTTGCTTGCAGGGTTTCCTGTCTGTGCTGATGTGATGTGGAGGTGGAATTGTCAGGAATATGCAATGAATTTATCATCTGTGTGCAAATGCATTGTGTGTGATCGTGGGAAGAAAAAATAAAAGGATCCATAGGAAAAAACATTCCTGCTACTCATCACTGGTGGTCAGAAATGGTGTTTTCCAACAACAGATAATTAATTGAAGCATTGGCATATGATTTGTTCTGGTTCAATAGATAGTGTCCACATTATCAGCTTTATAATATAATGTGAGGAGCATCATATTAGCAAGCATATATTTATGCAACATTTTGTAAATGCGCTCCAAAGCAGAATTAATGATCAGTCTCCTTTGCAGGAAGATCCTGATGATTGTTATTCTGTGTTCTTACAGGTCACACTTCTAGTTCTCCGACAGCCTACTCGCCCTCTCACACAGAGACTAATTCTTCAGGTGTTCCACTGATTCCCAGCTCTGTGAGGACATGAGTCCTGCTCCACACCGGCGATCTTCTCTTACCTGACATGCTGTGTCCACAAGGTCATGCACAGGACGTTGAAAGGAGACACTACTTGCACAGGAGTCTGTGGCTGAGCCAAGCTTTTTGTAGAGACCATGGCTTTGCTGTGGAATAGAAAATGTGAAAATTCACATTGTCTGAAGGACTTCAGTGTACTCAGGGCTCTGTGTGTAGATATTTATGATTAGTAAATAATATATGTGTATTTGAAGGATTGATTGATTGATTGATTGATTGATTGATTGATTGATTGATTGATTGATTGCCCTGCAGGCAGACATCAACAGCAGCTCTTAAGGCCAGTTCACGTGTTCTGCGTCCAGATGCGATCCAGTGCATCCAGTGTCTATACCTGCTTTATCCATAGCAAGCCACAGGGGGCTGGAGCCTGGAAGAGCACTCAGAGAAGACCCCCGTGGGCACACATACCCCTTTTCGACCAAGCTGGTTTCTGTACTAGTTCGAAGCCAGAGCCTGACTTAGCACCAGTTCTTTGTGTTTCCACCACCTGAGCACTGGCTCCAGGTTCTCAAAACTGGTGCTTAGCAAGCAGCAACTCTTTGCTGGGCCAGAACTAAGAACCGAGTGCGTCAGGGGCTGGGGGCGGGGTTATCACGACCAACGAGACCAGTGGAAACACAGAACCGGCATTTTTTATTTTTTATTTTTTTAAGACATGTTTTTGGCTTTTTTGCCTTTATTAGATAGGACAGAGAGAGAGACAGGAAAGCGAGGGAAGAAGAATGAGGGAAGGACCTGCAGCAAAGGGCCATGAGCGTGACTCGAACCCATGAGCGCTGCGTTGTTTAGCCCCTGAACGCGTGACGCCCACTCAACCAGTTGAGCTGTAGCGATGCCCCAGAACCAGCATTTTTAAACAAGAGCCAGGCGAGTAGCAACATTTTTGGATGCCAAATCCAGGCAGCAGTGGTCTGAGGAGGAGACCCAGTGCTTCCTGGCACTGTGGTCTTCAACTGAAATCCAAAATAAGTCAGAGGGAGCCTCTCGGACAAAGCAAAAAAAAAAGTCCAGCGGGAGATGGCTGCAGCCGGGTACGAGTGGCGCCTCGACCAACTCCTCAATTAACTCAAGAAACTGAAAAAGGACTACAGGGACCAGAAACGGCTATGAAGGCAGTGACGTACTGACGTTTTAGGGTGACGCAGTGGTGTGGCTCTAACTTGCCTCCTTGCCAATGGAAAAGCTAACAGGTTCTTAGGAGGTGTGGGATTTAGGGGCTCGTTATCAGGATCGTTATCAGGCTTCTGCAGAGCTGATGATGAGCTGATCATTTGAATCAGGTGTGTTGGAAGAGGGAAACATCTAAAACATGCAGGATTGCGGCCCTCGAGGTGGCCACCCCAACTGGCACCAGCAACAAACTAGCACCTGGTTCTTCTTGGTGGAAAAGGGGTAACAGAGAACAGACAAACACCACAAAGAAAAGCCCCGACTGATCAGCAGGTTCAAATCCAGAACCTTCTATGGCGCCCCTTCAGACAGGATCTTTGCTGCAAATAATAGCAGCTCGTTACAGATTGGGCTGCAGCACTGTGTCTGATTATTCCTGAGCTGTGCCAAGCACTATGGAGTTGTAGCCAATGGCTGGAAGTTATTTCCTTGCCATCTGAAGCTTAGTGGACAGACCGAGAACAGGACTTTTTTGAGAATTGTCAGTGGAAAGCATCTACAAAAACGGTGCTTCTCTAACGTTTGGGACTGACTGATTCAATTATAAGTCTTTATGATGAATTATAAAGGTGTCGATAAAGCAAGTCCAGTTGCTACGATTAATCTGCGAGAATAACCATGACCTGGATGACTGAGAATCTTCACAGACGTGTGGATAGTGATTACACACAGCTTCCCCTCCTAACAAGCATCCATTTAGTTTTGGGGCAGTCGGCGTGCTCTCAGCGTGTGTTGTCCACTTGATCACAAATTTTGGGCGGCACACAGACTTCAGCAGATTTACATCTCACAGATCCTTGCAGACACGCGGATGCAGAAAGCATGAATTGGCCTTTAAGTATTGTATCATAACCGTCCTCTCATCCTTGAAGGATTTGTGGTGAGGAAGCTTTGATTTGTGTTGGTTTGATTATTCTGCTGTTGTTATGCATTCAGTTATATATATATATATATTTGCATTTTTGTGTGGTACCCTTATCCTAATATGTTTGATTTTTAACAAATTCGTTAATTTAAATCTATATGTTCTTTTCAGTTCAGTTGTTGTGTATCACATATTTACTGGTATTGATTCTATGTCGTGTTTTGATAGTTCTGTTCATTTTAATTATTTCAGATTAATCAGTCAGAGGCGTTGCACTGCTCAAAGTGGCAATAATGTAAAAGGATGAAGAAATAATATTGGGTCACTTCATTTAATAGTTCAAAAGTTATATAATGAATATAATTATTGGTTGGAGTTGTGTATGTGTGCCTGGTTGTACACAAGAAATAAAAAAATATCTGTTGAAGGATTGGTTTGGCATTGTAGGAAATATGTTAATCTGACTTATAAAATCATTGATACCACTCTCATGGCAGTGTGTCACTAATGAATAGCTTAGCTTAGCATCAAGGCTTCTCTTAAGGCAGTTTCAGCTTAGCAAAGACTGTAAGTATCACCAATTAGCGCATTGTACCGCAATTGTTTATTTTGTGCAAACTGTTTAATCTATTAAATGAGATGCAATATGTTAATTAGTGCAGTTGAAAGGCATATTTTGTTAACTTTAAGTCTTTATCAGACATTGGATAAGTGACATTGCTGCTTCATCAGTCTGTTAAAGAGAAAGATCACTTTCACATTAATGTTCGTCTTCATTTAGACATCACAGTGATGTTGAGATTCCCACTACGTACGCAGTATTTGTCATAAACATGAGACTGGAAACTACAGTAATTGATGCATAATAAGGCATTAAAAATCAAAAGACTAGATCTAAACTAATAAAAACATATCAAACTGTCAAAGTAACTAATAGTGTAGATTATTTGTGATTTCCTTAACACTGAAAATTATGTGATGATAATTTAAGGAATAGTTTTCCAACAGTGAAATAAAAAGATCCCGGCAGCTGTGATGGAGCTCAGGACTCGAGCTGAGGACGGGCGCTGTCTAACAAATGATCTGACTGCAGCTATAAACTGTGACTGTGTGACATCTCACCTGTCTGAAGTGAAGAAAAGCATAAGATCCTGATCAAGCGTGTGTCCATGTCAGGAATAATTTATAGTGTCAATAATTAGTGAAGTTACCTCTGTTGTTCCATGTATGTAAATGTACTCTCTTGCTTTGTAAACGCTCACCTGGATCTTGCCGTTGTTTGATGCTGCAGGTGTTTAATAAACTCCTGCAAACAGCTGGAAGCAACAAACTGAACTTCAGCTCCCGTTAATGTTTTGTCAAAACCTACATTCATTTTTCATCAGTCTCATTAATCTGAGCTGTTACACTAACAGCACAGTACAGTTTTATATTTATGGACATTTCAGCTTGACATAGATGTGAAATTGTAGAGCAAAGCAATGAGAAAAGTGTTTTAAGATTTTGACACACAAACAGTTTGTTTCTGGAGGTGTCTGTCCATTGTTGTGATGACATGCAGCTCAGATTTGTGAAATGCTAAAAGTGATACGTAAAGGTTATTGGGTCCTCAACTTTTGTGGAAAAAAGGACATTTCTTTTTTGCCTTTAGTAGATAGGACAGTCAAGAGAGAGACAGGGAAGTGGGGGAGACGAATGGGAAAGGACTGGAAGGAAAAGGGCCATGAGCAGGACTCGTACCCATGGCCGCTGCATCAGAGACCATAGCCCCTGTACATGAGCTACCATGGCACCCTGAAAAGAGTATATTTCTGAAGGGGCTTTAGTCAAAGTTATGCTATCTGTTTTTGGTCTTTATGCTAAGCTAAGCTAACCGACCACTTGCTTATCTTTACCACTGAGACATGAGAGTGGTGTCCTCCTCTTATCATGTTTCCCAAAATGTACTATTTGTCTTATTCTTTACTGGAGGAGATCCATGTTCAGCAAAAAGAAAGCTGATTTCTTTATTTTTAGCATTACTTTAAACATGTAGAGTTCACATCAGTTTGTAATTGGTGTCATAACACAGAGTTCATATGAAGCAGATAGTCCTGAAGCTTTGAAGTTAACCATGTGCTTGATGCTTTCTGGATGTTGTTTTTGATCGTTTCCTATGTGCTACTTGCAGATCTCGATCTGAAAGATGTTTCTTGAGAGCCAGTGTGAACTGCAGCTAGACTTGTCCTATAACCTTATTAGAGGTGTTATCCTGAGCTGACTCATGAAGTAGATGTGTTTTCATATCAACATGTTTGCTACGTTTGCTCCTGGATCCTGATGGGAATCTGGCCAGCTGACTCAGTGGAGGTTATTTAGCTTATCAGCTTATGGTTATCGTTGATCAGGGACCCTAAATGTACCACCCAGGATCTATTTCACATCTAAGTGTAAAGATAAACTGCTTTTCTGTCTTTCAATAATATAACTAGAGTCTATTTCATGAGTCTGGAATTTGTGTGGTTAGAATGAAATGGTGTGAAACTGGTTGCTCTGGTTCGGACCAAGACGCACAAAGTGGAAGCAAAGCGACAATTTGCTAACTTTATCCCAGTGTACTCCTTCCTTTAGTAAACCAGTTGAATTATCCGTTAAAGCATTTCGTTTTGTTTCCATTCACACACCTCACCGTTCTGTTTTAGGTCTCCTAAAGACAAAACTTTATAATATCGCGCCTGTGCCTTTCTCTTTATATTTTCAGCTGAATTGTCTTGTAGTGACTTGAACTCGTTGTCTTAACAGATGTTCTCATATAAAGCCAATAAAGTAAATGATGTGAAACAAAAAAAGACTTCTTTTGCTTGTTGTTTGCCACACACACTATGGCCACATGAGGGAGTCAGAGTCTGCATTTTTAAGTTCAGGCCCTGCTACTTTCTCAGTCCTTCTTCCTGTGGCATTTAAAACAATAGTAAGATATCTTAAATATTTCTATGTCAAACAATACTAAAAAGCAGCTAAAGAAGGTATTAAAATGTTTATTTCATGTGATTTTCAGCGAGGTTCATGGTATACCATTCAACATGACAACACTTCCCCACAAAGTCTTTAATCTGTAATCTCAGTGGACATCCAGCATCTCTGTTAATAAATGGAACATATTCATGTTGCTAAAAGTAACATGTTGTTGTTAAAAGTAATGTTTTTGTCACCATAGTTAAATGCTGTATGATTTATTTAAAATGCTTGCTTTTATAGTTCATCAAACTGTGTGGCTCAATTTAAAATTGCTTTGACAATTGCCAATATATTACAAAATAATACAGTGTAAAGGGATAAAACCGAGTCAAATTTCTTTTTATACAGTCAGCGTTCCTAACTGTTATAACAATATAATATAGTATTATACCTTGGATTAGGCAAAATATTTGCTGGAAATGTAAGGAGGATGTTTTTATATTGTCGTTCCATTACATTTATTGTACATGTCAATTACTGTAAGGAAGTAAAATTATATTTTACAAAATGTACATGACTTAATTTTTCTCTAGAATATTCTCATTCGTCACAGGCGCCTGAGTCCCTTGCCGGTGCCAATGCTCTTACTTTATTGGCTAACGTTGCTGTCATTTAGAATCTGTTGCTCCAATTGGTTGAAACAAGACGGAGGTGGGGTTTATTTCCAGGAAGTGTTCAGCGTGACTCTCCTGGCCTAACGTGTTTGCTAATTTCACTTTTCGGCTGTAATTTGCGCCGCTGCCACTTTATTAGATCGTTTTTTTATCTCCCAACAGTATGGGTGACGATGAAGAAAAGTATGACGGGATGTTGCTTGTTATGGCGCAACAACACGAAGGAGGAGTACAAGAGGTAAAATCAGTGTGCTAACGTGCTAAAGCTACCGTGCTAATGGTAAAGCTAATGTGGTTTTCCTGTTAGCTTGTAGGCACTTCTCGTCTATCAGTAGTGGCATACATAAAAACGATGGATTTTAACTATTGTACAGGTTTTAGCAAAGGTTGTGGTCTTTATAAAAAAGCTCTCTCGCTAATGTGGACCATAGCATGTCTGTATTCAGCGGGGTGTACGCATGTGAATAACAACGCTGCAGGGAATCTACTGAAAATCTAATATTAGTACTTCTTGAATTAATTCATTAGAACGTCCACGTTCCTGAAAGAAGAAGCTGTAAATAGCTGTTGTACATTTAAACCTTTAATATAGCACTGGTGCTGGGTTCAGTTTGTAGCGGACTGGAATTTGTGGATAAATTAGATAAAGCCCCCTAACACATGCTTTGCTAACAGTAAAGGAAAATGTGAATTATCAGAAGGACAACATTGCTGTAGATTGCAATGCCATATTTAATGCAGGGATTTGAAGAGGATTGTGTTTAAACATCACTGTTATTAAGGATGGGTGGAAGAGGTATGCAAACTAACCATAAAGCTGATTAACATTAGGAGAAATCACATTAACACGTGGTTGTACTTCAAGTGTGCACAACCTAGCAGTGAACAATGGCCTCCAACATCTTCCACATAAGCAGGATATTTTCTTTAGTCCAGTCTTATCAACACAGCTCATGTACATATTAAAGACATTGTCTGGAGTGTGGCATGTCTAACTTATTCTAACCTATTTTTCTCTCAACAGTTAGTAAACACATTTTTCAGCTTCCTCCGGCGCAAAACAGATTTCTTCACCGGTGGAGATGCAGGTGCTGCAGAGAAGGTGAGCAGTGTTACTCTATCTGCACTCTGTGTGACATTTGAGACTGTGCTATCTATAAGCTGTTCCTATTCAATGGCAGAAACACACCTCCACCTAATTCTGGCCACCTGTTTCTTTCAGGTAGTCAAAGATGCCTTTGCCCACCACAATAAGCTCGCGGTGAAGGCCCACAAAGAGAAGCAGACAAAACAGGATAAGGAAAAAAAAGAGAAAGCCGAAAGAGCTGCCAAGCTTGCAGAGGAAGAGAGGAAAAAGAAAAATGACGACGGTCCCAGAATTCAGGAACTGACTGATGAGGAGGCGGAGAAGCTTCAGTCTGAGCTTGACAAGGTGAAATCTTATTGCTTTAGTGTATCTATCACAAGCAAATCACTGCCACTTTAATTGGTGTTACTTTATATGTAAATATATGTGTTTGTGCTTTATATGTTAGAAAAAGAAAGAAGAGGAGGAAATGAAGAATGTAACCACAGACTCAAAAAATACATCTGACAAAGCAGAAAAAGAGAAGACCGAAAAGGAGAAAGGGGTGAGTGAACAGTTAGTAAAATGGTGATTATACAGTTTGGTGTTGATCAACAATAAAATGTGGCTCTGCTGACTTACTTCTCTTAATTTCCATTTTCTCCAGTCTGACTCTGAAGGAGAGGAGGACGAGAAGGACAAAGACAAACTGAAGCCTAATTCGGGAAATGGAGCTGACCTGCCCACCTACAAGTGGACACAGACTCTGTCTGAAATTGATGTGAGTTTTTATCAACTTCGGCATCACGCTTGGCTTCTGTGTCACCAACTCACGTTAATCAGTCACCTGAAAGTATGTGTTTTTGGTCATCTCACCTTTTTTATTTTTTATCCTGAATGTGTTTGTTTAAGAGCAGCCCCAGTCCTATTATGACCCAATAGATGACTGCCCCTGCACTTCTTCTCTGCCCTACAATGTCCATTTTTAGTTATGTATTTATACCATTTCATATTTATAGTTAGACGCTGTGGACTATATGTCAATTCTATATTTTACGCCACAGTGTCTATTTAGGATGCAGTTCACTCCTCTGGGCCGCCTCCTTCTCTGACAGGATGATGTGTCCTGTTGTGGAGCTTCTAGCATATTAGGGCTATCGTGTCCAAATCGATTGGTCCATCAATATGCTCTTATCTGGCCAAATTCTCATTGGTCGGACAGTCGCCGGTGTTACTTTCAGAAGGCGCAAAGTGTTACATCAACAGCCTTCCTGCCTGTCCACAATATTGGGCATTTAACTCACGAGATTAGAAAAGTACAGGAAGTTACTTTAACATCCTGTTAAGATGCGTATCTCCTCCTCAGTACAAAGGGATAGCAAATGTCTTATCTTTGCAACAGACCACCTTCCAGCCATTTTTTTTTTTTTTAAATCTGAAAAGGTGTTTTTACAATCAAACCTGCCACATCTGAACTATGTTTGGAATTAGGTTGCAGTTTGTTAAGTACTGCTTCCTCAATTGTTGTAATTGGTGGACACAGTGTTCACAAAGACATTCTGCTTTGTTTTGCTTTGTCAGGGCGGTTTGCATCTAGGTTTGCATTTAGGTAAACTATCGAACATTCTGTCAACCTACTTTCTTGCTGTTATTCTGAAATGTCTGTCACCAGTGTGATAGTTTTTGACCCAGACCTGCTACATTCACACTTACTGTTCTCTTGTCATTGAGCGTGTGTGTACATAAATGATCTTTGCATCCTTTATCAGCTGACAGTAACCCCAATGTGTTGAGCTTTACAGTGTTACCTATTGGCAACACCAGGTGGTTGCATGTTATGTACATTTTTGATGCCCCTAAATTAATCTGACATGAATTTCCAATCTTTAAATCCTCCCACAGCTGGCAGTGCCTTTTGACGTGAAGTTCCGCATTAAGGGGAGAGACGTCGTTGTGGACATCCAGCGGCGCTCCATCAAAGTCGGCCTGAAGGGACACCCTCCTGTTATTGAAGGCCAGCTCTTCAACGAGGTGAAGGTAGAAGAGAGCTCCTGGCTCATCGACGATGGCAAGGTGGTTACTGTCCACTTTGAAAAGGTAAGAAAATGTAGTTTTGTGGAGACTTAATCCATCTCTCCGCTTTTTCAGCTGTGACATGATTGCACCAAATCCTGTTCTTTGGTTTCAGATTAATAAAATGGAGTGGTGGAACAAGATTGTTACCACAGATCCAGAAATTAACACCAAGAAAATCTGTCCTGAAAACTCAAAGGTAAAGGACTGACTGCCCCTCCTCTTCATTTACAGTAACAGTATGTTACAAAAGTGGCAAAAAGATGACTGACCAGTGTTCCTCTGTCTTCCTACCCGCTCGTCACTGTGTGTATTTTCTGCTGAGCAGCTGTCAGACCTGGATGGTGAAACACGTGGCATGGTGGAGAAGATGATGTATGACCAAAGGCAGAAATCAATGGGCCTGCCCACATCTGAAGAGCAGAAGAAACAAGACATTCTTAAAAAGTAAGTTTCCGCTCTTGCATCTCAGCCAAATCACATATCCTGTTTATGTCACTTTCTGTTGTCATAAAACTATAAAGGTTTTCTTTATTCTGTGTCGGCTGACATCTAGTGGTTTACAGGGTGACTCTCTAAAGCAAGTGCTGATTTCATAGTCAGTTTAACAACTTTATGGTGCATAAAGATTTTATAAGAACAGGGAATCTAAAAGCTGTCCGTCTAGTTTGTCTGTCCCTTAGTGTCTCCTATTTCTGCTCAAGGCCAAGCTCAGCTGCTGTAACTACAGGTGACAACGATGGCATGGTCGAGCTGACAGATAGAGTGACCTGGTTTAAGGAGACATATTAAATGACATTTCTGTAGATTTTTACCTATGTCTTAGCGTACAGGTTCTCCTGGAGTTGATAATAGGGTTTGTTGCACTTTAAACATAATACCACTTGTTTTGGTATATTAGGTACAATGTGTGTGTCTGAGGACTGAAAATGAGTATAAAAGACGACAAATGTATAAATACAAAAAAAAACTGTTAGTGTGGAGTTAAAAAAACAACAACAAAACAAGTAAGCTTACCCAAACCGCTGCTACTGCTTCTCATCTGTGCTGCAGATTAGCTGCTCAAGGCTACTTTAGTCAATAATACCATAACACACCTGAGTTTCACATCCTGCTGTGTGCAGTTGATTTCTATTGTGGGTAATGATGGTCCTAAATTTAAAAAAAAAAAAAAAGATGAACCAATACAAATTAATAAAGATTTAATATCAGGTTGTTCTGAAGCTGTTTTTGATCCACTTTGCCCATTATGAGACAGGTGCTAAATCAGTGGAGTGCTCATTGCTCCGCTGTAGAGAGATGAGAGTTCTCTGATTAAAAAGAGTTGCACTGATGGCTTATTTTATTGTAAAATGAAAACGCTGTCAAGAGACAAAATCAATTTTATTTTTTTTAATACATAGTGCGAGTTCACAACTTAAGTCATCTCAGAGCACTTCACATAGCAAGATAAAAGCCTTATGATATTATATTATAAAGAGAAACCCAACAAATCCAAGCAGTTCCCTCTGAGCGGCCCTCAGGCAACAGAAGAAAGAAAAAAAAAAACTCCTTTTAACAAGACAAAACCTCCGGCAGAACCAGGCTAGGGGAGGGCAGCAATCGGCCTCAAGTGATTGGGGTTAGGGTGAAGTGGAGGGAGAGTATGAGAGAGAAATGGACACTGCATCAGAAAAACAATGAGCACTGGGCAAATTGGTGAGGCCAGTAAGTGCAGATCAGAAATGTGCAGCTCCACAGCCGGAGAAACCTGCAGAGAGGACAACAACACAAACTGTGGGAGAGTGAAGGCACAGTAGTTGACATTTAACCACGGCGTATTAATGTATGGAGAGTGGAGGAGAGAAGGTTATGGAGGTGTTCAGTGTGTCACGGGAAGTCCCACAGCAGTTTCTTTTTGTTAAGTGCTGTAAACATGTAAGTATTAGCAATTATATCCTGTTGCCATAATGCAAAGTTACTAAAGCCAATTTTGATGATCCAGTGTAGTGAACTGCCACCAGTGGCTCTCAGGAGTAAAAACTACTGGTATACTTTGTGAAATAGCCACAACGTGAAGTAAGTCCAAGTTACAGTAAATGGCCTGTAACATAAAAGCACCTGAGTTGTATTAAAATGGTGTGAGAGTGGTAATGCAGAAGTGTTCGCCAACACAATAACTTTCATGATCAAGTCGAGGATGACATTCAGCCCTCAGACTGTCAGTTGTTTAAAGGACAGCGGTCTTCCTCCCTCCTCTGAGTCCACGTGTGTCTTATCACCGCTGCTAGTAAATGACCCGTCTTCCTCGTCTGCTGTTCCCAGTTGAGTCCAGAGGAGTCGTGTCTGCCGTCTGTCGAAGCCCATTTCCTCTTTAAGCTTGTTAAAGCTGCCTCCAAGGATCTTGTTTAGTTTTATAAGGGTTAAACAATACTACTGCGGTGGCTGTTGTGGAGATAATTGGTCTCAGAGTTTCTTTACTGACACTAAGTTCACGTTGTGTCTGTCCAATCAAATGCGATGGCGGCGTCTCAGAGGCATCGTACATGTCTTCACTGTTTAGACATTTAAAAGATTTCACTCACTGACCAGATGGAGGTGCTGTAGCTAAAGGTAAAGGCCTTTCCTAGACAATCCAGAAATAGACCAGCCAGAGAAAAGTTGTCTGAGATATTAGGTGAGAAATAAACTAACTACCATATATTTTCTATCATTTAGAATATTTCACCTGCCTAGATGAAACGACAAAATACTCTGAGCAAAGTCAAGATCTCCTCAGTGATGTGGAGTTGTGATGTCAAAGAAATATCTGACTGCTTCTTGTTTTGGTGACAAAAACATCGACATTCTTTTTGTTTCTGACTCTGACACCGTGTGTCTCTGCAGGTTCATGGCTCAGCACCCAGAGATGGATTTCTCTAAAGCCAAATTCAGCTGAGACTTGCTGTTGTCGGCAGCTTTACCTTTAGAATCGGCATCTTGGTTCATGTGAATCACATCAGAGCTGACGTCAGGCACCAACCAGCCCCCCCCCCCTTCATCTCTTTACCATTCTTTCGGCTTAATGTCTTAAGAATTTTTCTCTGTTTTTGTTTTCTAGAGAATTATGTCCACATTCTCCCTTTGCATGTCGTCTTCATATTTAAAGATGTGTCTGGACTTTTTTTTTTAAATAAATGACTATATCAAAGTATATATAATCTGCACTGTGAGTCTGTTGGAAAAAGACTGAGCACTTTGGTAGTTTTTGCAGGCAACTTGGATGATGTCCAACAGTTCAGTGCATAATGCTGGATGTCCTGATGTGGCACCTCTGTGGATGATATTTAGTTTTTAACATGTCTGGCCATAAAAGCACTCCAATATTATACAGATATCTGCTGGTAGATAGATAAGTGAACAGACAGCATGCACAGATTGTGAGGGGTTTTTCAGTTTTAGCCACAAGAGAGCAGTGTTTTCCTTAAGTTTAACAGGAGCTTGTGGAAGGCTGGGAGTTCTCCTGAAACGTTTCTGCACATAGAGGAGTAATCCTACACAGCTTTAAGTGTCAATCACTTTAAGTAGTTTGCTTAAGAGCCAACTTCGGAGTAAGAAAAAAAGTGAACTGTAGAAGTAAAGTTTAACAGCAGCTCTTGAGTGACAAGTAATCAAGGAAGTAGTATAATCAATCAGATGTAGCATTTTTACCATTTATCTGCCCCGTGGTTCATCGCTTCGAGAAAAAACACCTTCGGGCCAAACATGTATGAATCCTTTTTTTTTTAAAGTTTGCCATTTGTGTGAAAGCAAATGATGTAAAATAACAATCTGTTAGAATTAAAATAGTAAGAGCATTTGTTTAGTAGAATGGTACAAAGATTGCAACCAAGAAACAGGAGGAACTTGGAGAAAGAAAGTGGAGCACGGAGACAAGCCTGCTGATTACAGCACCACGAGGACAAGTAGTATGCACAGAAACTGACAGGATTCTCAATCAGCAGCGGCTTTATTTTTATTTGCACCCACTGCTCATGCAAAATTATTATTCTAAAGGTGCAACATCATATAAAATGCTGGTTTCAGCCAACATCTTATCAGAAATCTGCAGCTAAAACGACCCTGATCTGAGTTCTACATACGGTTACACGTCATGACCAGTAATTTATTGTTACAGCTATTCTGCATCATGTCTCTGCAGGTGTGTGCTCTGTCTCTGTGTCTTTGTATTCACCTGTGATCTAGTCTTTATAAGAATCACTCAGATCTGCTCCTATAGATGCAACCCTTAAGATGATCAAGCAGATTTTAATGTGAAGCAGCAGAAAACCAAACAGTGACGTTGACAACACAACATTTTATTATATGCATGTATCTGTTCCTGCGACATCCTCGTGCAAAGGCAGACAGTTTGAATCCAGACATTAATGGCGAACTCTGCCACCAGTAATAAAAGCTGTATTACAGAGAGGTAGTTAATTCCTAAAAGTAAATACATTACATAGCTATCGTTAACATGCATGCTGACCATAAATGACGCCAAAAGCAGATTAAATTAATGAAAATCGTAAAGATTCTACCTTAAAATAAAGAAATGAAAGATATTTTATAGTTGAATTTCCCTTCTGGGATAAATAAAGTATTTTTCATTTAATTCATTTCATTATTTGATAAATAGTTTTGTTTTAAAGATTTATTTTTGGGCTTTTCCGCCTTTAATGATAGTGACAGTGAAAGATAAACGTGGGGGAATGACATGCAGCAAATGAGCCGCTGGCTGGAATCAAACCCAGGCCGAGGTGTCGGGGACTATAGCCCCTGTACATGGGTCACCTGCCCTACCCGCTGAGCTATCCAGGCGCCCCATGATAAATAGTTTTAGTATTTTAATCATTGCAGGACAAAATTTAAAAACTGATGTAGCAGCGCGATGTTTTGTTCCTTCTTGTGACAATCCAGCTTCTTCATCACCCACAATGCAGTGCAGTTGAAGGGTGTTTTTTGATGTCCATACTAACATACTAAATAGTGTATCCCAGTACACAGTATGTCAAATACAGTATGCCTGAAATACCAGAATGTTCTACTACATGGACGTCAGTATGTGTATTCTGACCCACAATCCTCTGCACAGTGGAAGATACATCACATACTGTATGTGATGCTGTCTCACTCAAATAATAAGCTAAAGCCATCAAGAATGCACAGACAGGTGATTTAAATCTGCAGATTGATGGATATTTGAGTAAGACGGTCAAAGCTTAAGGTGCAGTGTTGTGATAAAGTCGCACGTCCTAGTTGTGTGGAAACCGCATGGAGCTGGACGTAGGGAAAGAGAAAAGTATGTGATTTGGATGTTAAGATTTTGATGTGTTGTGGAGAAGCAGGTAATGTGTCTTTGAGCCGCTGGCCTACAGCAAAGATGATCTTTCTATTCTTGTAATCTCGAGGCCCCACTGACACTGACTCAAGCAACAGCACTTGAATTTCTCACTCGACATGCAGCTCCCTCGGGAGACACAAAAGGCCTTGAGTTTAAAACTGACTATAATGTGTAAAACTGGTGGATTCCGCTTGAAATTTGTGAGTGGAAGTAAAACTGAAGAAGTTTCACTGTTATCTTTCATCAAAATCCTTCTCACGTGCAGCGGTTTACTCTTGAAAAGTTGCACTTGGTGACTTGTGTACATACTGACGTGTCACCTGCACCCTGAGGACAATCAGCGGGCCGCCACCAAATGACTGAAAGACACAGTTTCTCACTCAGACAACACTGGATATCATGCACCGCTGCTAAATGTTACTTCACTGAGGACCAGTTTGCTTACAAGTCTTTCCAGTCAGTGTGACTGTCCACAGCTAACTGGACTCTTGCCTGTCAGGATGGTGAGAGACTGTCACCATCACTGAGGCGACCGCAGGAAACATACATTAGCTTATGTTGGCCAGCAGCTCTTCCTAATGTGTGAAATTGCTCGTGTAGTTCAAAAACACTCCTCGGACAGCTGCCCTCATTGGACAATGGTGGACAATGGTGCACTGATCTTTAATTTCTTCCGTCACAGGCGTTGAACTCAGATGTCGTTACAGCAGCGATCACTAAAGACTCAGCAGTGATAAACATTTAAACCAGCAGTTTCCAACCTTTTTAACTGCTTATGCCATTGCTAACACATGATGCTGTGGACAAGATTATGGTGAGCCTAAACAGGTAAAGCTATTCAAAACTTATGGACGCTCAAGGTTCATTAATGCTTGCAGGGACTGAAAGCGAACCCATGTGGTCTAATCCCATGACGAGCTGAAACTGCTGAAAACCTTAATGCTGCCTTGTTGCACACAGTGTAGCACAGGTTGCTGTATATGAGGCTCTTTAGCTGCAGACCAGTCAGAGTGCCCTTGGTGATCCCTGTTCATCACCAAAAGCTCCTACAATGGGCATCAGGACTGGACGATGGAGCCGTATAAGAAGGCGGACTGGTTTGATGAAATATGTCATTTACTTGATGGCAGAAGGATGTAACGGAGACAGTGTGATGGTTTGACCAATGCTGGGTCCTGTATTCATGTTGAATTTACTTACCCTAAATGTTTTTGCACGCCCCTTCATGGTGGCAGCGTTCCCTGACAGCAGCGTTCTCATTCAGCAGGACGATGCTGGCGGCCACGCTGCAAAAACTGTTCAGGAATGGTTTGAGGAGCATGACAAAGAGTTCAAGGTGTTGATTTGGAATCCAAATGGGCAGAAGTCTGTGGAGTCCAGGCCTCGATTGGTCAGAGTTGAACAAGGAGGACCCACATGATACCAGGCAGTGGTTGTGATGTTCTGGCTGATATAAAGATTCAGTTCAGTTTTGGGTTTCAGCTTCGGTCATAGCAGTTGAATCCTGTCAGGCCAAGTCTCAGTTTTTAGGCCATTCCAGACTTCTAGAGTACAGGAACCCACTGAGTTCACCACAAAGTCAAAACCAGTTCCCAACTGGTAAACTTAACCAACACATAGGTCTTAAAATCTTTCTTTGCAATCTATCGGTCTCCAACTTTGTTTTCTTTAAAGGCATTTACTCGATAATGTAATAAAAAATGCCAGAGTTGCCTCTTTAGCATCATAGTCTCTGTTTTTACTATTTTTGTTCATAAAAGTTTTTGTCGGCACACTTAAGAATTCTCAAAAAAATCTATTGATCTGGTATCAGGATTTTTTTTTCCCAGTAGTTCCAGTAACTGGTGGAGCTAGAGGCCCAGCCAGAGGGCTGATGGGATTGCGGTTGGGTGGGGCGCCAGAATGAGTGTGCAGGGGTTGAGGGCACGGAGGAGGCAGAGTCTGCTCAGCTGAGAGCAATGTCTCACCAAGGTACCAGAATTTCTTCATTAACGAAGACACACAGACATCAGAGGGACGGGGTTGGGGTTCTGGGCCGGGCGAGGTGGGCGGTCTGCAAACACACCTCCCCGTCACTGCGCTGACTCGCTGTTCCAGACTTGACGACTTGTTTTTTGGCCGCGGATCCTCGTAAATCAACCCACAAGGCCTCGCACAATGTGACTCACCTTCATAATCATAGCGTTTTTGCTTCGCCTTTCTCTCTTCTTCTGTGAGATGCTCGGCGGATTGTTCCTGGAAGTGGAGGAGGAACACATGAGGGGACACCGGGTCACTGATGAGATTTAGATTTTCATGGTGCCAGCTGACTTCAGTTATTGTCCACTTCACATTTTTGGCTAATCAGCTCTGATTCTGTCACTAAAACTAATAAAGATATATAGTTTTGGTGTGTCTATCCTACATGTCACGGCTGCTACAACTAAAACTAATAACTGCTGTCACGATTAGGCAACGCTGACCCAACATCTGCATCTGTCCTCCACACCTGGGTGCTGGGCACACTCTGTAAAGCGTATTTAGAACACACACTTCCAGGGGTGGAGAGGAGGCCGGTGTGCAAAGTCAAACTCCAACTGTCAATTAGCGAAAGCCAACAGAGGCTGCAGGCGGAGGTGTACAGAGCAGATCAGCCATCTTGGAGGACAAAGGCTTCAGTCAGCTCGGGGGTTCTCAGATCCACACACACACACACACACACACACACCATAACAGAGAGGGCAGAGCAGGCCCTGAGCCCAGCAGGACCTGTTTACCGCGGCAGACTGAGCAAAGACCATCAGCAAACATCCTCCACACCAGCTTTGGACTCATAAACACACACTGAAGATGG